GATGGCGCGTGCCGCTAAGAAGTAGTCCTGTGTGCTTTAGTCGGAGCGGCCCGCGAGGACGTCCGCGCGGTACTGGCGGCGGTTCGGCCCGTCCTTGAGCGCCTGGTACGCGGAGTTGAGCGCCTGCATGGTCGCGGACGCCTTGCGGACGGAGTCGGGCCGCCGGTGCTTGTCCGGGTGGTGGCGCCGCGCGAGGTCGCGGTACGTCTTCTTGATGTCCGGCGTGCCCGCCGTCGACGGCAGCCCGAGCGCGCGGTAGTGGCGCGCGGCGTCGAGCTTGCGCGTCGCGGAGCCGCCCGCGGGCTCGGGCCGCCGGAACTGGTTCCAGGTCCGCGCGCGCTCGAAGTAGGCGCGGTCCCGCGCCTGGTCCGCCCTCGCCTGCTCGTCGAAGCGCCTCCGCGCGTCGTCGCTCGACGCCGAGCCGGACGACCCGTAGGACCCGCGGCGCCGCGCGTCGTCGTACTCGGTCCGCGCGCGCTCCGCGGCCGCCGCCGCGCGGCGCTTCGCCTCGGCGACCCTCTGCGCGTAGGCGCCCCGGCTCGCGGGGCGGTCCTGGGCGTAGCGGCCCGGGGCCGCGCCGCCGCCGGGGCCGCCGGGGCCGCCGGGCCGCGGCTTCGTCGGCTCGGGCCGCCGGTACCGGCTCCACGGCTTGTTCGGCGGCGGCGGGGCGGCGCCGCGCGCGGCTCCGGCGGCGTCGCCGGCGGCGGCGCGGCGGCGGGCGGCGACGCGGCGGGCGGCGGCGGCGCGGCGGCGGGCGGCGACGCGGCGGGCGGCGCGCGGCCCTCCTCGGCCTCGCGCCGCGCCTCCTCGCTCGACGACCGCGCCCGCGCGTCCTGCTTCGCGCAGGCGCGGCGCCAGACGTCGTTGCCGACGACCTTCTCGCCGCCCGTGAGCAGCGCCTCGCTCAGCGACGGGATCTCGCCCGCGTCGCGCTTCGCCTTGAGCTCCTGGACGAACTCGCGGAACCGGATGCGCTCCTCCTTGCCGAGCTGCTGCACGACGTCCTGGAGCAGCTGCTGCAGGTTCATGGACGACTGGCCGGAGGACGCGGCGGCGGGCTGCGGCGGCGACGCGGCGGCGGGCTTCGGCGGCCCGGCGGGCTTGAACTCCCACGGCTCCGACGCCGCCGGCCGCGGCGCGCCGGCCGGCGCGGCGCGCCGCCGCGGCTCGGCGGCCTCGCGCGCGGCCCGCTTCGCCGCGCGCAGCTCGCGGACGCGCGCGGCCTCGGCCTCGATGGCCGCGGCGCGGTCGCGCTCGTGCTCGCGCTCCGCGGCGAGCCGCGTCTTCGCCTCGCGCTCCGCGGCCGCGGCCCGCTCCTGCGCCGCCACGACGCTCGCGCGCCGCATGCGCCGGCCGTAGGCCGCCTCCATGGCCGCCCACTCGGCGTCCGTCGGGGCCGCGTCCGCGAGCGCCTTGTTCGCCCACGACGCCTTCGGGAAGAAGGGCCGCGGCGCCGCGTCGGGCGACGGCGGCGCCTTGAGCGGCGAGAACGCGGGCGACGCGGGCTTCGGCTGCGCGGCGGGCTTCGGCGGCGTCGGCGGCCCGGGCGGCGACGGCTCCGGCGCCGCGGCGGCCGGCGACGACGACGACACTTTCTCCGGCGCGACGGACGGCGTCACGGGCTTGGGCGCGGCGTCGGGCGACGGCGGCGCCGTCGGCTGGGGCTCCGCGGGCGGCGGCGGCGGCGGCGGCGGCGGCGCGTCCGTCTCGCGCGGCGGCGGCGACTGTTTCCGCGGTATCTTGGGCGCCGCGCGCGACTCCTTCGCCGACGGCGCGGCCGGCGCGGTCGACGCGGGCGGCGCGTTCTCCTTGCTCGCGCCGGCCCGCTCGAGCACCTCGACGTTCGCGCGGCCCTGGATGGAGACGACGCCCTGCGACGTGAGGACCTTCAGCCAGCCGCCGTTCTTCTTCTCGATGACCGCTCCTTCCGCTCCTTCGGACTTGCCCTTTAATAGCTTCACTCGGTCTCCCAGCTCGACGGGGAGCGGCTTGGCGCGCGGCATCTCGTGCGGCGCGCGGGTGCTCGTTGGTGCGCCGCGGTTGGCCTCGAGGCGCGGCGTCGCGAAGTGAACGTCTCGACAGCGACCGCCGCTGCACCACCGGGGGTCCCGCGTGCGCGTCCGCCGCATACGAGTATGTCCGACCATCGAAGCCTGCGCTTCGCGCCTGCGCCGGGAGCCTGCTAGACGTACGCCGCGGATGAATCCTCTCCGTGCCGACAGGCGATCCGATCGGCGCCGAGGCGCGTTGTCCGACCCCCGGCGGCCGAGGTTTGCGCTGAATCAGAGCACGCCCATTGCTCGAGCCACAGATCGAGCGCCGAGAACGACATCAAGTGCCCGATCCAGCCCACCCGAACGCACGATGAAGTTCGCCACCGCTCTTCTCCTGCTCCCCGTAGGCCGCCAGCGTCCATCTCGCCAGCTCGATGCAAAAAAACGCGCGCAAACCGCATACCCGTAGGCCGTCGCGGCCATCAACTCGCCGCGGTCGTCGCTCAAGCGCGCGTCGCTCAGCGTGCCGCGCGGCGGCGGCCTCCTCGACTCCTACCAGGAGGCGCTCGACAGCAAGCCCATCCTCACGAAGGCGTCGACGTCGCTCGTGGGCTTCGCCGTCTCCGACGCGATGACGCAGGCGTTCATCGAGAAGGGCGACTTCGACCTGAAGCGCCTCGTGAAGATGGCGTCCTTCGGCTTCCTCCTCCACGGCACGACGGGCCACTACTTCTACAACTTCCTCGACTCCGTCATGGCCGGCGCGACGCCCGCGTTCGTCGCGGCCAAGGTCGCGATCGACCAGACGCTCTGGGCGCCGTGCTTCATGGTCATGTTCTTCACCTACATGATGCTCTTCGACGGCACGCCCGAGCTCATCGCCACCAAGTGCAAGAACGACATCTTCACGGCCGTCAAGGGCTCCTGGATGACCTGGATCCCCGCGCACACGATCAACTTCGCCTTCGTGCCCTCGGACATGCGCCTCCTCTACATCAACGCCATCCAGATCTTCTTCAACATGTTCATGTCCGTGATTGGCAACAAGTCCGCGTAGAGTGCGCGTCGACCCGCAGCGCGCCAGGCAAGCCCGCGCGCCTCTGTTAGAAGCCGCGCGCGCGCCGCGTCCTAAGGCCGCGCGCGATCTCCTCCGTTATCTCATCGCCCGGGGCACCTTCTCCTCGGGGCCCGAGCGCTGACTCGAGCTTCGATCAACTAGAATCCGAGCTCGAGAGGCCACGGACGACGTCGCCGCGAAGGTTTTCCCCCAACGCGCCCTTCAAGAACGCGCCATGTTGACACGATTCGAGCAGCCCGGCTGGCGCCCCAAACTGTGATGATGATCCCGCGACCGCCGAGCTCGTAGACCCGCAGTCGTCGACGCGTCGCGCCGCGGCGCGCAGCGGTCGAGCGCCATGGCCGAGCGCCAGATGCGCGTCTGCGTGCGCGTGCGCCCGCTCACGGCGTCGGAGCACCTCGAGGGCGACGAGGCGTGGCTGCTCGAGGGCACGAGCCGCATCACGGAGCGCGACGTCGGCGAGAAGAACCGGTGCGCGCGCAGTTTCAACTTCGACCGCGTCTTCCCCGCGCCGAGCCTCAACGACGCCGTCTACGAGAGCATGGGCCGCGAGATCGTGAACGACGCGATGCGGGGCTACCACGGCGCGATCGTCGCCTACGGCCAGACGGCGACGGGCAAGACGCACACGATGCAGGGCACGCCGACGTCGCCGGGTTTGATCCCCCTGGCCATCGAGGAGGCCTTCAACCACATCGCCGGCGCGTCCCAGGAGCGCGAGTACGCGCTCCGCGTGTCCTATTTGGAGGTCTACAACGAGACGATCCGCGACCTCCTCTACGACGAGACCTTGGACGACCCCGGCGAGCCGCCGAGCCGCTGGGGCGGCGCGGCGCTGCGGCCGCGGGACCCCAAGCCGCGAAAACCGCCGCCGATCCGCCTCGTCGACGACGCGAAGCGCGGCGTCACGCGGCTCCAGGGCATCCGCGAGGTCTCCGTGGCGTCCGTGGGCGACGTCTTCGACACCATCGTCGAGGGCGAGGCGCGGCGCGCCGTCGGCGAGACGGAGTTCAACTCGCGGTCCTCGCGGAGCCACGCGATTTTACGATTGACGATCGAGTCGTCCGCGCGCCGCGGCGCGGGCGACCGGCGCGCCGCGGACCTGAGCGTGCTCACGAGCACGCTGAGCTTCGTGGATTTGGCCGGGTCCGAGCGCTGCCCCGAGGCGTCGGCGCCCGCGCGCGTCAAGGAGGGCGCGTACATCAACAAGAGCCTGCACCTGTGCCGGAAACAACCGGTGGAATGGCCCTGTCCAGCAAAACTTCAAACCTCTCTAGCTCGGTCACATCGAAGTCGATTCGGCTGATTTTTGGACGGATCGTTTTCTCTCGGTGAGTTCCTTTTAGACAGTGAAAAGACTATGTCGAAACCGTGCGAATACTTTCATATTGATGTCGTGTTGAATATTTTTGTTTCCCGCCCAGGCTTGCACGCGCTCGCGCTCGTCGTCTCCAAGCTCAGCGCGGGCGCGACCAAGGCGGACCACGTGCCCTACCGCGACAGCAAGCTGACGCGCTTGTTGCGGCCGGCCCTCGGCGGCAAGGCGCGCGTGGCCCTCGTGTGCACCGCGTCGCTCGCGGCGTCGGCGGCCGAGGAGACGGCGCACACGCTCAAGTTCGCCCAGCGCGCGAAGAAGGTCGTCCAGCGGGGCTCGGACACGCGCGACAGCGTCGTCGACACGTCGTCGCTGTTGGCGCACTACCGGGCCCAGATCGACGCGCTCAAGGCGGATTTGGCGCTCGCGAACGAGACGAACGCGTCGCTCCAGCGCGTCGAGAGCGGCTCGTCGCTGGCGCCCGAGGCGCCGGCGGAGGACCACCTTTCGCGCGAGGACGACGCGGAGCGGCTCGCGGCGGCGGCGGCCGCCGCCGCGGCGACGGAGGACGAGCGCGCGACGCTCCGCGGCGCCGTCGACCACCTCGAGCGGCTCATCCTAAAGTCCGGCGAGCGGTCGCCGTCGCCGACGGCGCTGACGACGCTCGCGGAGCAGGCGACGGACGCGGAGCGGAGCCCGAACCCCAAGGCCCAGTTCTTCTCCGAGCGCAAGTGGCGGGGCGCCAAGGGCCGGCGGTCGATGACGCTGCCGCCGCGCGCGCTAAACGCCGACGCGCCGTCGCCGCCCCGCGAGGACCTGCCGGCCGTCGCCGAGGACGCCGCCGACGACGCCGACGGCGCCGCGCCCCACCGGCGCGCGCGCCACCACCACGGGGGCGCGCACCACAAGCACGACAAGCGCGCGGGCGCGGCCAAGGGCAAGGACGACCTCCTGCTCCGGGACCTCGAGGGCCTGCTCGAGCGCGGCGCGGCCCTCTGCGCGTCGTCGACGGGCCCGGAGCGCGAGCAGCACGCGGCCCTGCTCGAGAGCTTCCGCGACGACGCGCAGAGCCGCCGCGCGAGTTGCCCCGGCACCGTCGAGCCTCTGCCGCCGCCGCCGCCGCCCGAGGAGGCGAGCTCGCCGCCCGACGCCATGGTCTCGTCGCTCCTGGGCATCAAGCAGGCCATCGAGAAGGTGCTGGCGCGGGGGCCCGAGCCGCCGCCGGAGGCCGCGCCCGCGACGCCCGGCCGCCGGTCGCCGACGAAGGACGACGCCGCGGCGCTCGAGAAGCGGGCCGCGGGCCTCGAGGCGGACCTCCAGCGCGCGCGCGAGGACGCGACCTTCGTCCTCGCCCAGCTCGACAAGGCCGAGGCGGAGAACGAGCGGCTCCAGGCGGAGCTCGCCCGCGCGACCGACATCCTCGCGGCGCGCGAGGCCGAGCTCCTCGCCGCCAAGGGCCTCGACTCGCCCGAGGACGAGACGTTCTAAGTTGTGTGGGGTAGGCGATCGTTAGGCGTCGCGCAGCGCCCGGGCCCGGTGCTGCGCGAGCTGCTCGAGGCCCGACTGACGAACGCGACGCA